GGGGGGGGGGGGGGGGGGGGGGGGGGGGGGGGGGGCGTCGGAGATTGTTGCCCGGAACAACCTCGAATTTGACCGTTGCGATTCTTGGGGGGGCGTTATGTGTTTCCGGCACGCGGCGGCAAGGATACCGGTGGTGGAAGAGTCACTGCTGCTACATCATCATCACGGGGGTATCGAAGCGATGCGGCCGCAAGAGAAAAAAAGTGCGCTTGGACTAACGTCGTAAATATGCGGAGCGGGGGCTATCGTTAACGGTTGTAAGATAAAGTTACACCATTAGACTAGTCAGCGCTGACTCAGTAGTCTAATGGTGTAACTTTATCTTACAAAAGATATACGCTCAGCTCGTTAGCACCCGGCTGGATCACTTGGGTCTAGAGCTTTGTTGAGAGAAGGAATCTCCGGGGCCGGACCCCTCGCCGGCCGCTGCCTGAAAAGAACATGATGGTGCTTGGGAAAGTGTGTAGCCGGGATTCGGATCCTTGCGTGAAACTTTTGTCGCCAAGTGTGAAACCATTGGTCAAGTCAGCGCTGACTCAGTAGTATAATGGGGTAAGCCTTTACTTACAAAGGATACCCGCACGAGTTCGAATACCGGCTGGATCACTTTTCATTACAAGAAAAACAAAAGTGCACCTACAACTATCAGCGCCTGGCGAGGGGTCCGCCCCGGAGATCCCTGCTCTCAATAAGCTCTAGACCCAAGTGATCCAGCCGGGTGCTAACGAGCTGAGCGTATATCTTTTGTAAGTTAAGTTACACCATTAGACTAACCCTAACCCTAAGTCTAATGGTGTAACTTGACTAGTCTAATGGTGTAACTTTATCTTACAACGGTGGTCTGCGGCGGCGTCGCTCGCTCCGTTTCGCTCCACATTGCGTGGTATCGAAAATGGAAAAAGGTTTTCGCGATAATATAATAATCTCAGGAAGAACACTTGACAAAAAATAGCAAGAGGTTCATAACAACTTCTGAACGGTAGGCACATGGGCTCACTCACACGAAGCTACTGCCTCTCGCAGCACAGAGAGGCAACGTAGACTACGCTACCATGTAGAGTAGGTGAGTCCTTCCGTGGTTGGTTATAATGCCGTATGCGGCGGAGAGACGGCACACCCCCTTAGTCCCCGACTTGTAAAGTTCGATTGCTCCACGACCAAGGGGGCGCGGAGAGAGCCCGATAATAGTTCTTCGGAAAGCCCTCGACGAGGCATTTCGAATACCACCACTATTCTTGATGTTAACATGTTTGGCTGTGGGGGTAATCGCGTTTGGAAAATCCGTCCAATGGGGATGATGCCATGTCGGCCTTCGGTATACCATGGCAGTCTACAGACATTATTATTTGCACACACAAGCTGGTCCTCATTATTTCATGTGGACACCCCACGGACTACGGACCATTGGTACCACGTTGATGTTCGTCGGACAAGGCGTGGGATAGCTAGCTTCAAGAACAGTAGGAGGCGCGCGGTTGTAGTACAAATGGGACCTGTCAGGGGACGAGGATCAGGAACGGTTCGCGCGTTCGCCGAATCTGCAAAAAAAAAAAAGAGGGCGTCGGGGGGGGTACAGAAGGAGGGCAGAGTCGAGAGCCGAGACATCATCCGCGAGGAGGGAGAGACATAGATAAGACGAGGAGTTGAGCGTGGCAAGTCTTTCGAGTACAAAGGGTAACCAACTTTCGGCACAGACACAGCCAAAGCGGTGAGGAGAGCAAGACTTGCCGGCGCCTGAAAGAATCGAGTACAAGTAGTCTCTTCTCGTTGTCTCCGGAACTACGCTTGCTGGAATAGGAACAAGTCACGCTTTATTTTAAGAGAATCTATCGTTTCGGAGGCATGCGAAGCGTCGCGGTGCCCCGGCATGCAGGGCCCCGTCCCTCTACTGAATCCCTCGCTAGCTCCCATTTTCGGAAGAGGGAGCACCTGCTCGCAACTCGTTTCATCCATCCGCCAACAGCGTTCGACGCTTACAAGTTTGAAATTTGAATGCGTGGGGCCGTTCCGCTATTATTTTATAGGTATATTTTGTGAGTGGGCTCTCTCCCGCTCTCCTACCGTCGAATGTTGTCGACGCCGTGTACTACACACAACATGTGGAACAGAGACAGACCTTAAACGCAGTTTTCGGCTGTGTCCAGCATCTCCCTCCATGTACATGTATTGTGGTTTTGGCCTTATTATTTGCTTCGCAAGAAGAACTGGCGGTTTTTTTCGCCCCTCTTTGCCTCTTTTGGTGAGGCAAGGTTGCCTTCAAGCCATCACGAGGTTCAATGTTGCAGTCAGTATGTTGTGTGGTGTATGAGCGCTAGCCGCGAAACACAATGCTGTGGGGGAGAGAGAAGCAGGCGTAAGAAAAGACAGCCGTGGGAGTGAATGAGTACACGGGTGGCGCGTGAGCAGTGTACGGGTGCTCGCGGTCCGACCGCGGTTGGAGTGGCAATTTTTCATCGATTTTCTGTTGCTGTATGTTGTCAAGTCCTTCCCAGCATACATATGTGTTTTCTGTTGGATCAACGTCTGTATATATCCTCATCCCGCTTCCATGTGCCCTCTCCAAAGATAAAATGGCACGCAATTTGCTTTCGTTCAATGTAATCAACCAAAATGTGCCTCACTCACCTTCCTCACGATCACGAGACCCCGGGTGGTGAACACCTCCATCACGTGCCCGATTGCGCGCCCATCCTCTCGCTCGGTGTTGTGTCTTTTTTTTCCCTGGAAGGCATCAGCATGTAGTATATGTACGTACGTCCGTACGTGTTTCGTCGCATTGCAACCTCGGCCACACCTGATCCCTCATTTTTTTCGACCGATCATAGAGAACGTCAAGAATCGTAGCACCATTACGTACGCGTTCTCGCCTTCTCACGTCTGGCTGCCTGCCTGCATCTAAAGAGAACAAACGAGGCGTTATTTCCCGCAGAACGGGCGTTCTTTTTTGCAGCGTGACTATCCAACACCACTCACGTCCCGCTCTCCGCTGCCGTTGGGTACGTTGCAAACGGCGCTTGAAGCGGTATGATGCACCCGACTCGCCCACATGTTCCCAGTGATCCGATCACCTTCCTCCCAGCACTAGTATCAGATAGGCCCTCTTTAGCTAAATAGCTGTTCCAGAGTCCTTCCCGCGTTTCTGGGGAACAGGCAGGGCACCTGTCATGCCTGCAGTTCGCCCTCACATTTAAGAAACGCCAGTGTGGGGTCGAGGCAAAACTTCTGTTTCGTCACGACCGTCGGACAAAGGTAGGTACATATAGAGTCGAGTAGGCAATTTAAATATGGTTTCGTGCAGGGTAATCCACGGCAGAGGAGTGTGTCTTTCTTAGTCTGCTTTTGTTTATTTAACGCCTGTTTTGTAATGGCAGGCGCTAACTGCATAACAGCATGTTTTTTCTCGTAGTCGTTGGCCTCTATAATTATCGGGGGCGGCAAACATAGCGGCTGGCTCCGTCATCAGATCGTTGACAAGGTAACCAGAGATGAAAAATTCGGTGGCCGAAAAGCCTGCCCGTCGTATTTTCCTTGTAACTTTTCCACGAACGGGGTGTCTTCTTCATCTTCGCTCAGGAGCACACGCTCGAACGGAATATTGTAGTCGGTATGATTTTTGCGCCAAGAGTAACCAGCAGATGACTCCGTGAATGAATATTGTTCAAGGGCCACCAGCGCTTAGCGTGTTTTATTGTTTCATGACGGTGTGTCTCCTCCATTGCCTCCTCTCATGACCGCCCTCCAAACAGACTCGTGTTTGCACCACGGGCGGCCATCCGATGGCTCCGTCAATATCGCTGTTGAACCGGCTACCAGCGCTCAAACTCGAAGGGGGGCGGGCCGGAGGCACATTCGCCTCTTCTGCGACGGACGCTCTCCCTCACGTCGCGAAAGCCAACCTCGCAGTTTGGTCTAGTCTCTGTATGCGTCTGTCTCCCGTTTACTCTCCCAGCAGTTCCGATGACCTTGCCTGTGTCTCACTGGCGGTGGATACGCATGCCCCTGAGATGATGAGCGACCGCTTTCCCATCAGTCAATGCGTTTTTTTTATCGTGTAGATGTGACGGTGGGGCGTGCTAAGCTGGTCTCTCGGCGTGCTGCATAGCGGTGTGTCCCTTTCTAGTTGTAGTGAGATGACTCTCGCGACGGAGTAGCACCTGCTGCCTCTGCTGCTGCCTCTGCTGCTGCAGCTCCCCCTGCTGCCGCCGCCGCCGCCGCCGATGCTGAGACGACCTGCCCTGAAACTGCTTCTGCGCATTGGTACGAAGCACGACCAAGAGACTACTTCCCTTGAGTTGAGAGGTGCGGGGGTGCACCCGCCCTTCATAAACCGTGCCACCCAGACGACGTGCTGTATTCCCAACTCGCTGCATGCTGGGTGTCGTTTTTGTCCGCGACTGTCAGCAGTAACTATCTCCGTATTAGCTGGGTGGCAAGAGGCCCTTCATCCATCCCTCCCACTTTAAGCGGCAGCAGCAGCAGCAGCAGCAGCGCGGATTTCGGTTACCCCCCCCCCCCCCCCCCCCCCCCCCCCCCCCCCCCCCCCCCCC